ACATGTCACTGCAGTCCCCCACCCTAAAGTATGTGAGCAACTTCAGGCTCCAATTTGTTTTTTTGCACATGCCAGTAAACTACTACTCCTCACATTCCCCTAATGCGGTGGACATTTTTTGTTGCTGCCCATGTTCACCGGTCTAATGCTGGAGGACGAGAATTTGATTCCTCCAGAGCCGTCGTAACAGGAGGTGCAAACTGCCGTTGAATCATGACCACCCCTGCCACAATCCGAACGATTCTTTGCCAAAACAGGGGCTAACAATAGAAATATTACAAAGAGGGACGCGCACCAGGGTAGCGGATAGAATCATGCGTTTTTCGCAGTTTCAACCAGCGGAAGTTTGCCCGCTAAGGACTTTCCTTTTTTACACTTCAGTCTGTGGGAAAAAAAGTCGATGTGCTGGTTGGGTCCTGAGCTGCAAAATTTCCTATTAAAAATTTCAAATACCAGTAGCACGCGAAACACAAACGTATGTGGAACCTGAACATGAAATCTTGGTCGGTGAACACCGTTCCAAAACCTCAACATTTTAGTTCTCCAGCTTCTAACTTTTACGTCAGAACTTTTGTTTGGTCGTGAGGTCAAGACTTACGTGAAAGCTGAATTTAAATTTGCTGGATCGTACAGAGACTACCCTAAAATATCAGCTTCCCAGTTGTCGTATTCCCGAGATAATTTCCCTCGCCAAAACTTTACGGCGCCCTACGTAATATCCAGGCATTCGCGAAGGCAGAGTTTGAATCTGCGAGCTCGTAGATGGGCAGGGGACATCATCTAAAATTTCAGTTTTCCAGCTGTCGCGGTTCCTGAGATAAAAATTTTCCCCGCCAAAACATTTGCGGGGCTGCACGTACAGTACCAGAATCTAAATTTGCGCGTTCAAAGGCGGACAGGGATATTATACTGAAGTTTCAGATCCCAGCTTCTGCTGTTCCCGGCTTGAAAATGCGGGAATATGCGTTCTGACAAACACACACACACACACACAAACAGAGGCGTGACAATACGCGTTTGGTGCTGCTTTTACACAGTGCAGAACGCATAAAAATGAGAGGGTCGCTTAAAGGATGCGCATCTGTCCCCGAAATTTCAGCTTTTTTAGTTCTCGAGTTGAAAATGGGTGAAAAAAAGTGCGGATACACACAATCTCTTGCCAGTGTGCAGTTTTGCACTTGCATAATATGCAAAAACGTGTAATAAAAAGCCTGGAACAAATGCTACAGAGCGCATAATTCCGTTATTTTTGCAACAAAAATAAACCGCCGCGAAAAAAAGGTAAACCTGGAGGGCTCCGATTGCAGCTGACTGGAAGCGAAGATCGGTCTTGAAATCCTGAGCAATTTCACGCACTAAACGTTGAAATGGAAGTTTTCGGATGAGAAGCTCAGTGGATTTCTGGTAACGTCGGATTTCACGCAGTGCAACTGTTCCAGGGCGGTATCGATGTGGCTTCTTAACACCGCCAGTGGATGGAGCCGACTTACGTGCCGCCTTTGTGGCCAGCTGTTTACGCGGAGCTTTACCTGTAACGTATAACGATTGCGATCACTTGCCCAGGCAAATCTGACAGATGTATCTGGTCGCAGGCAACGCGACAAAGAAACAATATATCGATGGCACAATTCACATTTAGAAATCTTGGTATTATGCAAAACCATCATACGCCCAGAGAAATCCTCAAAAGCGAAGGAAACTTGATGCAACAACTGGCTAACCTCCAGTGGATTTACGCGCGGTCTGCTTGGTACGAGCCATTGATGGTGTAAACTGAGCGACGAATCAAAGGAATCGAGAGTGCAATATCCTGTGAAAAGCCTGAAATGCAAATTCAATTCGCAGATCACAACGTAACGGCAACGAAAAACGTTCCACCTCACCCGTACCTTTTCCTCAATCCTTCACTCTTCCCCCTCCCACTGTGTAAAAAATAGCAAAGCAAAAATGAAACGAACATGAGAGACTAATTATGAATGCGTACGATAATTCCTGGAAAAACAAACTGGCCTCAGCTGCTCTTACGCATTCAAGAAAAAGACAGTCGCGAATGTATCAATGACCAGTGGCTCACAAATATCTACAGATATGAGTGAAACCCCCCCCCCCTCCCCAAATTCCTAGCATTTTGCCCGCAATGCACGATTCTAGCAAATGCATGAAAACAGCGCCAGTTACGTGGTCCCGGCAAAAGCCAGGAGAGGCAGCGATAGTGGGGCAAGCCATGCACAAACTGAGGGATATCTGTTCGGCAGGACTTAGAAATAAAGATGCGCACCAGGACGATCGAAATGAAAGTCCGTGGCAGACTTTAAACTGAAACTTGGGGGTCACAGATCAATACGGAGAAAACCGTGAAAACTGCATTCGTTTTATGACCTCCCTGACGAGCACATGGCAGCAGCATCCACAGAGCCATAATTCACAGCAATACACTGGACTGCACACAAACGCGTAACAAAGCGAGTAGTCTACTGATATGCACAGCAAGAATAGATACGCCGGATATATTACAGAAAAAAAAATTTTAAAAAAAAAAGTGGCCCAAGTCGGACATTCTGAGAATGAGTGAAATCTGGGGGTCCGAGCAGACATCGGAGAACGTGGAAAAAGTTGGAAAGTGCACGAAACACGGCGATATTCGGTCATTTTTTTATTGATCGCCGGTCGTCAAAACAGGTACATGTAGGGAAAAGGATTGAAGCAAAGGGATACCAGGAAAGGGGGAGGGGTTGGGAAGAAAGTAGGTGGGCGAGGAGGAAAGAAATAAATGGAAGGAGGAAGTGGGATGGCAGGAGAGGAAAAAACGGAAAGCAGAAGGAAGGGAGAAGTACGAAGCGAGGGGAAAAGTTCCAACTACTCGCTGAAACGCCGATTCACGTCACCGGTGAACGAACGGCCTGCCAGAGCCCCCTCCCCCCCTCCTATCCACTCCCACCCTCTGCGATGCAACTGGAGCACGTGTTTGGCGTGACTTGCGCTGCCCGAGTGAGTACGAAGCACAATCCCCGCCAACATCGTCGCAACAGCCGCCCCGTCACAGCAGTGCACACAACTAGCATTGCACCCCCATTATTTCCCCCTCCGCTCTCCTCCCCTCCCCTCT